TTGCCAGGCATACATGGGGGGCCCCTCGCCACGTACTCCCGAGCAGACCCAGAATTGAACCGGAAGTACTTCTCAGTCCACTTCCAGATTCACCACCAAGCACATAGAGCCCCCCCACACACACACACACACTTCTCACACTCCTGTGGGACACTTCATGCACCCCAGCATCACAGTGTTCACAAGCTGTACTGGTACCTTGAGGTATGTAGAAAAAACTTAAAGCTATGTCTATGGCCGAATCTGTTTCTCTGAATCGGCATCAAATCTTCAGATTCAGATTTGGTCGAATCAAATCATAGACAGTGATCCAAATCAATGAATCAAATCACTGTTCCTGATTTGGGCTGAATTTGAAACAAATAGAGCCCACTTTGCACACCCCTAGTAAACACTGACTTGTAAGCACTGCTGGATTTCCTGACTTGGGTTTATTTGTAACTTGGAGAAGAATGAAAACATATATGGTTTTATCTTTCAAGTGGTTCACAAGCACCTGGCTCACTGCACTAAAAGGTTGAGTTCCACTGCTATAGATCAAAGTTGTTAGACACATCCCAGACAATGGGCTGGATCTAAAATAGCTTTGGATGGCAAAAAAAAAATAGCATTTCATTTTTGACAGAGGATTTTGATGTTTTCTAGTTTGAATTCATTTCCAATAGAGAAGAAAAACAAATATTTCAGAATTCACCACAAAGCAGAATCATAGAATCATAGAAAGTTAGGGTTGGAAGAGACCTTAGGAGGTCATCTAGTTCCACTCAAAGTAGGACCAACCCCAATTAGATCATCCCAGCAAAAGCACTGTTTAGCCAGATTTTGAAAACCTCCAAGGATGAAGGTTCCTCCACATCTCTGGGTAACTTGTTCCAGTGTTCTACTACCCTCCTAGTGAGAAAATTCTTCCTAATATCTAACCTAAACTTCCCTTACTACAACTTGAGACTGTTGCTCCTTGTTCTGTCATCTGCCAACACTGAGAACAGTCTAGCTCCATCCTCTTCAAACCCTGCATCAGGTCATTGAAGGCTATGATTAAATCCCCCCTCAGTCTTCATTTCT